GCTAGAGCTAGAAGAACTCGAACTATTATTATCTTGGCAACTGGACTGAATGTCTCATCATAATTCAGTCCATACTATTGAGAGGATCCTCTAGCTACCGAGCGTGATTTGCATCTCTCGATTGACCCGTCTTGTTAAGTCTTGACCTTATAAACCCATTTTCAAAAGACAGTTTTGACATCCTTGGGATTTGGCACCAACTCCATATTTGGTTATGCTATAGAGTTTGAATTTTTTTCCTTTATTGCTCATCTCCATTCAGCAATTTCATTTGCTTCCTCGAAACTAGATGGCTCCTTCACATCTTCCGCAATGGCATCACTAGGATACTTAAATTTTAGCTTCCTGGGTCTGGTTGATATTCGAAATTGTTCTACTAGTTCTTCTTCAATATCCTCTATTTGGCTCGGGCGCACTTCTTCTGGTGTTGTATGATAAACACTAGTCTTTTATGGATTATTCTTATTTGAGGATGTTGAAGAACTTGATTCTGTCTTCTCTCATTAACATAAGTCTTCTTCTTAACTTCTCTTCCCCAATTCTCTTCTAGCTGATCCTCCAGATCTTTAGAATCTAGCAGTGCAACTTCTTGTGAAAGCCCACCAAGATGAGTTTTCATCAAACACAACATTCTTTGATGTGTAGCACCATCCGATTGTGGGACCACAACATCTCCATCCTTTTCTTTCACTGTCATACCCCACAAAAATACATCTTAGAGCCTTTCTGTCAAACTTGTTGCATAAATGATTAGGCACAAAGACAAAATACACATAATCGAATTCTTTGAAATAGCTTATGATTGGGTTGGTATTCTACAACTTCAGAAATGATGACATGAACTTCAATTTTAGTTGTAGGAGTGACTGATCATGTGCACCATAATTTTTATACACTCAACCCAAAAACGTCCTGGTACACTCTTGGCATGAAGCATGCTTCAGCATATCTCTGCAAGTTGACAATTCTTTCTTTCAACAACCATTTTTTATTACAGAGTATATGGGAACGTTAGCTATCGGTGAATTTTGTTCTACTTTAAGTAGTTGTAGAAATCCTTTGATGTGCACTCTCCTCCATTGTCTGTGCATAGGTAATGAATCTTCTTATTAAACTCTTCTTCAACTTATTCTCAAAATTATTTGAATTTGAAGAGTGCATCAAATTTTTCCTTTAGGAAATAAACTCAGACATATCTCAAGTAATCATCAATAAAAGTGATCATGTACCACATGTCACTTATTGATTCTTGCTTCCCTCGACCGAATACATTTGAGTGCACAATCTCCAAATGTTCCTTTGCTCTAAATTGTGACTACTGGTATAGTTATTGATGCGCCTTACCATACTAACAACCTCTACACATGGTTCCTTCTTGAATCTCCAAGTGCGGAAGGCCCTTCAACATTGACTTTTCTATCATGATCTTAAGCTTGTGATAGCTCACATGGCCATGTTGAGCATGTTACAGATCAGTTGTCTCATTCTTTTGAGTTTTATCTATGTATGCAGTTCTTCTTTTCGAGCTTTATCTATGTATGTCATCTATTCTGACATTATATAAATAGATTCAACTAATCGTGCCACCATGATAGGTTCTCCTAGTAGCTTTAAGTTTTGATAGACTTTTACACCTTGTGGCCTAAAAACTACATAGTTTTTTTTGAAATTGTCAATTGGGAAATGAATAGAAGGTTCTTTTTTATACCTGGTACATGGTATACATCTTGTAGTTGTATCCTATTCGGGTTGTATCACGGCATAAACACAGTCTTTCCAAATGTGTGTAATGGACAATCTTTAATAATTTGCTATCATAAGTTCTAGGTAGCCTTTATACTCCTTCATATTGATAAGCTTCACCTTGTCTCCCGTCATGTGATCAGAATAATCAGAATTGACGATCCAATATTTACTGTAGCTAATTTCTTCTCGATCTAAAATTGTTGTAAGTGCAGACCCAGATCCCTCCACAATCGATGTTTGTGCCATATCAACGACCTCTTCTTTGTCCACTCATACATCTTTAATGATGGCCACGAATGCTTGGACATCCCATTCTTCTTTATCATCTTGACATCTGCGTGATGCTGCAACATTACCCTATGTAGGTCTTCTCTTGTAGTAGCAGTCTCTGGTCTAGTGTCCTTTCTTCCCATAGTTGTAGCAGCTACTGTTAGGTCGACTTGCTCGACAAATATCTTGCTCTTTACTCTGTCGTGTTCTGTCGGTGTATGGTTGTCTTGGCTACCTCCTTGAGCTAATCATTCCATACACCTCTTTGCTCGCGCCTCTTGGTTTGCATCTCTTCTTGCTACTAAATAGTGCTTCATCTTTATTTTTTATTGAAATGTCAGTTATTTGTTTGGCTAGAGTTTCTTTATAGCAAGAAAATTCTCCAACTCTAGTAGTGTTAGTTGAGTCGTCCTACCGTGCGTAGCAGCAACAAACCCATGGTACTCCGGTCTTAAACCGTGAAATATTATTATTCTCATCCTTGCATCCAA